GGGCCGGGAGGGGGGCAGAAGAATTTCCCTGGTGGTGCCCAGAGTGGCCACCAGGGAAAGCTGGGGAGGGCTAGCCTCCCACTAGTTCGAATTAAGTGGCTACACAGCCCTTAATTCGAACTAGTTAATTCAAACTAGGCGTTAGTCCTCGTGGAATGAAGTTTACCTAGTTCGAATTAAGCGCTCCGATAGTTCGCATTAAGTTCGAACTAGCGGTTCGCGTGTGTAGCGCCTATCAAAGTTAATTCGAACTAACGTCTGTTATTTCGAATTAACTTTGTAGACCGGGGCACCGGGAGCAGCTTTTCTCGCCTCAGAGGTCGAGGTGGCGGGACCGCTGCCTGCGAGCTCTGGGACGAGAAAGCCCCGTTCGTAAGTGCGGATCCGACGTAAGTCAGATCCGCGTAAGTCGGAGACTGCCTGTACTTGCAAAGAAGTTTCAAGAAACCATGCAATTGTAACTCACAGGTTTCCTGGCACAAGAGCCCTGAACAATTCTTCCCCAGTTGTTTACATATTGCTGAGTGACTGTGTATGAAAACTGCCTTTGAAATTAGAGATATACATTTTTAAGTGCATTTAAAGTTCTCTTTTATCCCCAGAATTTTGATAAATCAGATTATTCTACAGGCCAGTTTTCCAGAGCAAGAAAGCAAGAGGAATTCTCTTATATAGCTTAATTTGGAATCAGGAAGCCAAACATATTTAGATATTCAGGACCAGGACCAGACTCTTGTCTGGTATAACTTCAAATGAATGGAATGGAGCTACACCTATTTATATCTACTAAAGGGGTCTCCCCAGGAAGATATCCTACAATTTCCATTACAAGTTTTTAACGCAAGTACTAGTCTTAAACAGAAAGCTCAGAAAAAAAGTATGAATCTGAGGCAGTACGAATTATGTGTTATAGAAAGTTTACATATTGGGCCTGATACTTCTCAACATTACATCACTTTGCAAACACCTTTGTTGTCAGTGGAGTTACACAAACATAAAAACACAGTGTCAGTAGGTGCATCAGGCCCTATTGTTTGTATTTATATTTTAGAGATTTGTATGTAGGTCTCTGAGTCTGTTTGTTCATGAACTGAACAAACAGTAAGAGTTTGTCTTCCTAAACTGTAAGAATTAGGACCAAATTTGGTATGCAGCTTCCTCTTATTCTAAAGCAAAGTCAGAATTTGGTTGTGCCAGAAAAATGAGATGTGTTTGGAACTCAACTGTTTTCCACAGAATGGAAAAGGAGGTAGCTGAGCAGAGGGATGCTATACTCATAGTCAGGGCTTGACAAATACACTCACCCACTCGCCTGTGGCGAGTAGATTTTACCAGCTGGCAAGTGCAGGGGCGGACTGGCCCAGTAGGCCATTGTGATGGGCTGGCTGAAGCCCGCACTACGGGTGGCGTGGCCCCATCCGATCCGCCGGCCGGCAAAGGAGCACAGCGCTGCTGGGAAGGGGTCTTTAAAACAAATGAGGAACAGTCTCCCTCAGTGTTGAAATAAAAACACTTTAATCCATAATGCAAGTGGAATACATTCAACAGTGCTCTCAGAATTATCACTCCCCAAGATGCTGATGCACTTTGTTTTTATATGACATGCCAGAGTAAAAAAATCTTTCAACCTTATGTTGGCTATTTAGCATATTATATGGTTGCTTTCTCTTTTCTTTTGGTCCGGAATAAGGAATCACATGGGGTGGCCAATTTTGTGGATGATGGAAGTTAAAAAGCACATACCAGGAAAAAAATGTACTGTATTGCCTTTCATTTGCTGCAAAATTCTTGTCACAGAGCTGCCTGCGTGCGCTCTGGCATGAGGAGGCGGGATGGGATGCCAGGATGCTGGCATGACCTGACTCTGCTGATTTTAAAGGGCCGCGGCAGCTCGGCTCTGGCTGCATGTCCCTGGAAGCTGGCTGTGGCTCCCCGTCCAGTCCCCCTTTGTCTCTGTGCATTCTACATGTAACCCCTGCTCCCCTGCACCCTAGACCCCCTGCTCTCTCTCTTTCCTGCGACCCTCTGGTCCTTGCCACCATTGCACCCTGTTCCCCCCAATCTCTGCCCCCCCTAGCTCTGCGCTGCCCATTCCCCGCACTGCCCCAGACCTTGATCCCTCTGCCCCTCCTGTTGCCTGTGTCCTATTCTCCATTCCTGCACCGCACCCTGCACCCTGCTCCCCCCAATCCCTGCCCCCCCCCAAGCTTTGTGCTGCACGTTCCCTGCACTGCCCCTAGACCCCGATCCCTCTGCCCCTCCCATTCCCCGCGTCCCATTCCCCGTGCCTACACCACACCCTGCTCCCTCTGGCTCTGTGCCTCCCCTTCCCTGAGCCTTCCCCGTATCTCCTCACTGTTCCCTGCACCCCTCTGGCTCTGTGCTGTCCCTGCACACTGCTCCCCCGGTGGGTCCGGAGTGAAGGGTGCTTGTCCACAGGAAGGGGCTGGACAGGGCAGGGAAAAGGCTGCTGTGACCCAGCAGCGAGTGAAAGGGGGAGTTCACCTGGAGGGGGGAGGGAAAGGTGCTGGACCAAGGCTTGAAAGAAGGGGTGGGCATGAGGAAGGTAGGGATGGAGCAAGGCATATGTGAGGGCACAGGGGCTTGAGAGCAACGGGGGCAGAGGGTGGGTATCAGGGAAAAAGAGAGCAAAGGGGGCAGGGGCAGTGAGGGAAGGGGGAGGCACCAGGAGAGTGCAGGGGTAAGGGGATTCTGGGGGTGAAGCAGAAGGGCAGACACCTGCAGGGAAGGGACCAGCACCAGAGGAGAGAGGCAGGGCAGGTGTGTAGACGAAGGTATTAGAAGAGGGGATGAGGAGGGG